TATGGACAAGCCGGGCAAGATATTCGGCGTATCGTTCAACCCCGATCTCTTGCTGGAAAGGAATTGGTCGGAACTGCGGGAGAAGGCTAATGTATCAGATCGTCTTTGTTTCCGGAGGAGGAACTGAAGTACGTGCCTCGCACATGTACCCGATTCTACTTTACCGACTCTCCGTACATCCAATTCCGTCTGCCACTCTTGTTCTTTTTCTTGTGGGGAGATCTGTTACCCATCTGAAGGCTGTCTGATTATGTATAACTTTGAGACTCGTCAACATACGCTTCGCATCGCGTACTTTGGTCGAAAGTGTCAGCAATGGCATTTTGAGGGTGAATTCTGGAATGAAGACGCGCGTAAGAACTTCCCATCTCTGAAAAGTCTGCACTCATGTCAGGAGAAGACCCCCCCCCATTTTTTTGCCCCGAGGCGAGTGTTTCTTCTATTGTGAATATCAGATTGCTCTGAAACACCTCCTAGGGTCTACGGTTGGCTTCTCAAATGTCAGTGATTAGTAGGGCCCAGGGTCAGCAAAATACTTTTATTTTGCGGGCTTGGAAAATTCTCCCAACTGCATTCGATGTCATGGGAAGGTTGAGACTCTGGATCTGCCCTTCTTTCATTTCAGGGTTGTAGTCCTGTTGGGCAAGCTTATTGAAGATATAATTGTTCGCATGATGCGCGAAAGTTATTCGTCCTTGAGGCCGGTTCGAACTGTAGCAATGAGGTATTATTGTAGATGGACTAAAAGCATTATATAAGAATGTATTGTTCTGGTGTAAGGAATATCGTGTTATTTTTGTGTCTGTGATTGTTGCGATCTAAGTTTAATTATAAAACAGAAGACCATCCTTCCTACCCCCTTTGGCATTGTGGCAATTGTAAATTTTACAAAATAAATATTGATCTTCGCTATGGTACCTAAACTTTTAAAATTAAAGTGCAGTAATAGGTTGTCGTTGAGATTTCATCAATTTACCTTTGCGTTGGCTAGATTCAACCGTAACTTCTATGGGAAGTTTCTTTTCTGGTACATGTCACTTGTGTAACTTCACACCGGCTACATGAATTCTAGCCAACTTTAATCTGCAATAATCTAAATACAATGTCAATCGCTATCAACTGTTCTCTTGATTGCTCTTTTCTTTTTCGGCTTATTATTAATCTTTCATTATAAAAAAAAAAATTATTTTTAACAAAAGCCAACCCAAAAAAAAAAAACAACGTCTGTCTTCGTTGGTAGAACAAATGGGCCTAGATAACTAAAAAATCGGAGATCGATATTATTGGCAGGATTTTACTTATAAATTGATTTTTAAAACTTCAATTCCGACAAATGCCACGCCTCGAGGAGGGTCTAACGAATCCTAGTATCTAAACATAAATTTCTCTGAACATGTCTTATCTACATTTGTTACTAATGGCAGATAGACTATCCATCGGTTTTTCACGAAACAACAGTTTGGTTTAGCCTTAAGTTTACCAGTGGTGATTTTAGTAATCTCAGATGTAAATGCCACCTAGTGAATATTTATTATTTAGACAAAATATTCATATAGCCTAATATTCCGACAGTAGTGTCCAATCCCTTGCGCGCCTATAAGACGTTTAAGGAGATAAACCTTGGTTTTCTAATAAGGTTTTCCAAAAAGAAAAATCTGTAAAGAATAACATATCTGAAAAATAGAAAAGTGCTATGTATTATTGCTATATTCCGCGCTAACAGAAATATATACTTGACATACACGGTAGATAAAATAAGTAAAGGTCTATTGTAAAAACCAGAACAATAAGAATAAAGGTAACAGTTATGCACAAGGTTGTCGCAAGTCAATCCAGTAGCGAGTGCTACTATTGGAAGGTTTGTAGTTCTTGCGTAAATCTGAGTCGTACTCAAAAGATCCCAGCTTGTGTACCTAACAACTGCGCCACGCAGTCACATGTGACACAAGGTCGAATATAATGCGGGGTTCCCGAGCACGTAGGCTCGGCTAAAAAATCCCCGTACACCCCGCATAAACGGGATCGGGTCGGTCTACCGCCTCGAACGAGTCTCTGCCCCTCGGCAAAGCCTGGTCCGGGTTCCTCTGCCCGAAAGCAGAGAGTTCGACCAGCATGACTGAAAAAGATTTTAGCTAGTCAACCAGCTATATTCCGTTGACTTACAGATACTTATAGTCAGTTCCTACCTATAGTTTTGTCACTCATGGGCGTGATAGGTTATTCCATTACATCAAGTATGATGCCTTAATTCAAATTATTGTCGTAAAATACAATTTCTGAAAGATTTACAAATGGTATTGGTAATCTTCGTCGTTTCTTCAAAGGGGAAACATTCGGCATTCATTGACCGAGATGCCAATACAACTCGAATTGCGCTTTTCTTCATTCCCTGGTCATTGGACTTGGATAAAAGCGTAGTATCTGTTCTAATATCTAATGATAAATCGTTTCCTTATAAGGCATTCACTGAGCTATCAATCAATTCTAATTCCGTTCGAATTCTATAAGATCTCTCTATAAAGCATTTCAAGAAAATAGGTTTCTCTCGATCAGTAACTTAACGTTTTCTCTAGTATCAATGTGGCTTTCCATTGTAACGTTTTTGTAGTGTGGCCCGTCGACATTTCGATTAATCCTAATTCGATTTACAAAAGAGAATGTATTATTAAAACTGAGTTTAGTCTGGCAAAAGACGACTTATTGAGAATCACCCTCACTTCTGCGAGAAAACTTCACCATTCATTCCGTATTGATAATATCTGCCATAGCTTTGCTCGAGGCTACGATGGCGAGTCTTAGAGTAAGGATCGAACTCCCCACCACACCCCACTGTAGTAAAGGTTTTTAGTTCTAACATGTTAATCATTGCTCCTCAGTAATACATTGAAAAATAAAAACAAGCCCTCAAGATCTGCGCCTGTTGTTATTAATATTTAGTAAGCTTAGCTAACTCCGACACAATGACGCATGAAGAGAGGAATATTATGTATCGTTAAAATTATCTGTATGTTACCTACGATAGTCATAGATATTTTAGCAAACAATAGGCACATATGAATTTGTTTGGGCTTCAACACCGAATACTGGTTCTATTAGAATAGACATCTACCTGTGAATTCTAGGATTAAAATATCACTATAGTTATCCACATTTTCAAATCACAGAGTAACCACGTCATCTTTGTCATCTTGAAGTCGTGTTCTATCAGCCATCGTAGGCCATAAAATATTTATTGGAATAACCAATGATAGCAAAAGGCCGTCTTCACGGAGTGCTAAATGAAGGAGAAACTTATTGCTTTTGAGACTATAACGTTAAATCTGTTATTACTCTAAGTAATCCTCTATTAGCTGGGGGAATTATCTTGGATCCTTATAAATAAAAAGAACACAGAAATCAATAATGTGACTGAGTAAGAATTTTTTTTTCCTTCCTTCCTTGCTAAAAGTCTTTTCATTTATTTTACCAATATTTCTTTCTTTCCTTTCTTTGTATTCTATATCCGTTTCTTTTTCTTATTTTTTTAAATTTTTTCTTTAACTCTTTCTTTGTCTCTTTTTCATTCATTGTTTTTTTTTCTTTCTTTGTCATTTATTTCATTCTTTTGTTCATTCATTGCTTTTAACTTTATCGTTAATTAATTCGTTGCTTTTCACTAAATTTGTTTTTATATGCGATTCTTTCATTGTCTGTTATTCTTTCATTGCTTTTTCATCATTTGTCATTTATTTCTTCATTGCTATTTCTGTCATAGTATTTTATTAATCATTCGATTTTTCTCTTTATCATTCATTCGTTGCCTTTTATCTTGATTTTACTCATTCGTTGATTTTTTTTATTTGTATTTTCTTCATTCATTCTTTTTACATTGTTTTTTTATTCATTCATTGAATTTCGTTCTTTTACTGCTTTTTAATGTTTTACTAATTCTTTGTTTTCTCTTTTTCTATTAGTCATTTTTTGTGTTTCTTTGTTTTTTTCTTTCTTTGCCTTTAATTCATTCATTGGTTTTCCTTTGTTTTTGTTTTTTATTAATCTTCAATTATTCCTTCTTTTTAGTTTATTAATTCTATGCATGTTTTCATTGTCGCTTATTCATTCGTTATTTTCCTGATGTCTTTTGTTCATTCCTTGCTTTTTCCTTCTTTGTCTGTCATTCATTCATATATTTCTTTCTTTCTCTTTACGCAGTACTTTTTTTTCTTTTTCTTTTAATTTTTTTCTAATCTTTATTTTGCTTTGTTCGGTTCTTTTAGGAAAATAAAAATAAAGTACAAAAACAAAGAAAACTATTTTTTTATTGTACTTTTGGTTCTTTAACTTTCATTTCTTAAATTCGTTTATTTTTAAATTTTTCATTTTTATTTGCATATAGTAAGTTTTCCTCTTTTTTGCTTTCATTCAATTTTGTCACGTTTTCTTTTTCATCCAGTACTTTTCTGGTCTTCAGGTTTCATTTTCTAACCCGTTCGTTTCTTTGACTTTCAGTCCTCTTTTCTTTTTTCCATTTCTTTCCTTCTTTCTTTTAATGAATATTTTTTGTTTTTTGTTTTCATTTCCCATATATTTTCTTTTTTCTTCTTTTTATCTATAACGTTTTCCTTCTTTTCATTTTCTTTGTTTGACTTTTTTTTTCTTTAATCCATCCTTTCCTTTCTATTCATCATTACACCTGGCTTATTTAGAGTCTATACTTTGTTTATAGTTTCTCACTTCCACTCATTTTATTCCATTCTTTCTTCCCTTTATGTCAAATGTTTTTCTTTCTTTTATTCTTATTTCTTTATTTATATTATTTGCTGCTTTTCATTTTCCACTATCATTTTGCATCGAATCATATTTAATTTTTTTCCTTTCATTTATTTTCCTTTCTTTCTTTTTTTTGTGTTTTTCTTTCTTTCTCTTCCATTTTGTCTTTATATTTGTTCTCTTTTCTTTCTTTCTCAATGAATTATTTTTCACATTTCACATTTTTTTTTCTTTTTTCACTTAAAGGTTTTATGAATTCTTTTTTTATTTTGTATCGTTTCTTTTTCTATTTCTTTGATTTAACTTTCTTTATTTTTATTTTCCTTCTTTTCTTTCATCCTTTCTTTACTTCTTTTCTTGATTTATTTTCTCTTTTCTTTCGTTTCTTGTTTCTTTCTCCTAACTTTTTATCTTTAAGTTTCACATTTTTTTATTTTATTTACTTCTCTTTCCTCTTCGCCTTTCATTTCCTCTCTATTTATTTTTTACACTTTCATCTTTTTCATTTTCCCTTTTTTCTTTTCTCGCTTTCATTTTTCAATCTTCCAACAAATACTGTTTTAGCATATTTCCCTCTTCTTCTATTCTCAAGCTTTTCTATCCTTTCTCCGCCCATTAATTTTTACTGTGTTCCTATATTATATTTTTTGTCTCATTCTCTTACTTTCTCCTTCTTCTTCCTCACTTCCATACTTTTCTTTCTTTCTTTCTTTCTTTCTTTCTTTCTTTCTTTCTTTCTTTCTTTCTTTCTTTCTTATTTACTTCTGCTTGCCTCTAATTCTTCGTTCACTTTTGTTAATTCAAATCAGTATTCTTTATATATTTTCCTGCTCAAAGAATCATTTATTTCAGCACGTTTTATTTCCGGTCAATCAAACTTCTCTCGCACTGGACCATTAGATATCTACGATGATGTATATCATGAATTTTTTTAATTAAAAGAAAATATACACACACACCCATACACCCCATATATATATATATATATATATATATATATATATATATATATATATATATATAAGTGTGAAAAATAACGCGCACACAAAAACAAAAAATACACAGACGCGCACACACTAACCCACAAGACTTGTGTGGGTGTGTGTATGTATATATGTTTGGACTCATGTGTGCATATTGACATGCGTTCACATTGGGCACACACATCCGCCTTTAAAATCCAACCGTGACCTAAATCAAATGGTAAAAAATGTTAACCACAATACCAACAAAATAATAACAAATAAAATAATACCCACCCCTTAAAAACACTCAAACCCAACATACAAATCAGCGCAACTACAACACAAGCTCCTCACAACAGTCACAACAAAATGATAACCAACAAAATAATGCCTAACCACACAAAACACGTAAACCCAACACACACAAATTGGCAGAAGTAAACTTTTTACAAAACGCAAAAACGACAGACACATTAAATATAAAAAAAACCTAAAATAGTAAAAGAAAAAAAGAAACAAGAAAAAATATACAATATACACAAAGAGCACACCAAGTAAAAATAAATAATACAACGTACTAAAAATACATATACAGTTAACAGTCAGAACTATGCATATAGGGGCGTGAACGCACAAAAGCACACACATAAACACAGACACAAATTTCAAAGTCAGACAGGCACACACGAAGGCACAAGCATACATGTGTAAGTGGTGCTTGTGTGCTTGTTTGTATGTGTGCATTCAGGCACATATAGAGGCACACACAAAACCCATATTTGCACAAACATACACATACACAAATTCAACAGTAACCTCAACTAAATTGTCAAAACAATAAACCACGAAAAACATCAGTAGAGGTAATTGGCAATAAACCAGAGACCAACGGAGAAGGTGAGGAAAGAAAAAAAGTATGAAAAAAGTAAAGAAACGAAGAAAGAAGAGAAGTCAACAACTAGTTAACACTTACGAAGCGAAAAGAATAAAAAATCATACACATATATCACAATATATAAGTGCAAAAAAAATCTAGAAATATCAGCAGTCCAACTCCGTACCGACGATTAGTCACATCTATGTATCCAGGAAACTTCAAACTGAGAGCATGAGTTAAATGAAAAAGCTTTTTGATATCACTTTCACTTATACATACACACACACACACACACATATATATATATATATATATATATATATATATATATGTGTGTGTGTGTGTGTGTGTGTGTGTTGCATGTGTGTTTGCATGTACGCTTAGAATCATGACTGATTCGATTTATGGACAATTACAGTTTATATTTCTGAAATTGTCCCTGAATCGAATCAGTCCTGATGTTCAAGTGTTGTGACTACATTAATAATCATTAATTAAATGCAATCATCTATAATTTCCTTGAAATGCATAAGTTTTCTCTATATTGACTATTAGCTTAAGGTCATATTTTGAACAGTCGTTTTCTGATGAATCCATTATAACCCCAAAAGTTGAGTACACATATCTGTCGAATATTGTGAATTAAATATTAAAATTTTAAAAAAACTTTAAAATCTCTATTTCATTAATAACTAAAAAAATCAAACTTTATCAAACACATCAATTTTAAAATCAAAAAATTATTTTAGATAATTTCCATCATTATGAATGCCACAATATATATATATATATATATATATATATATATATATATATATATATATATATTTTTTCATTAGCTTGATGTGAGTTAGTGACACTGGGTTTCATGCTATCTGCATTGTCAGACAAATTGATTAATTTTGGACATTTTGAATTTATTTATGGTTGTGCACATCGGTGTTTTATGGTAGAAAAAAATTGTCGTCGGAACGCCACTCGTACAACAGTATTTCCGTCGACAATTTTCCCTCCCATTACCAAAAAACACGAATTTATGGAATCAAATAAATCCAAAATCTCAAAAAATGAATCAATTTGTCCGACAATCGTAGAGAGCATGAAACCCAGGGTTACAAACTCACATAAATCTAAAGAGATATGTTAGCTCTATCATTGATATTGAGCACTTTCCAATAAGTGCCACGCATATATATATATATATATATATATATATATATATATATATATATATCTTACTTATTATAAAACGTAGGTTGTGTGTGTCTGTAACGTTTATATGTTGGATCGAATTTCCTACATTTTTAGCCGATTTCAACAAAACTTCAAAGGACTACATAAAATTACCTTTTGGTGGTTCTAACGGCGCCGATAATGGGAAAAAACACAGTTGTTTTTTAAGAAAATCAATTTGAAAACACGATTAAGACACGTCGAGAAATGAAAGGGGGACAACTCACCCACGAAAATGTAAACAAAAGAGCATAGCATGATGAAAAAGACGCCGAACTTGACGAAAACAAAATTTTATCGTCTAATGTCCATATTATTATTCAATAGGAAAGATCAAAGTATTTTGGAGTATTTTTTTTACATTTTTTAATCGTTCCTAGCACGTCTGAAATTTTCGTTAAAAATATTGTTTTTTTTGTAAAAAAAGGACAGATAATCAATCATTTTTTCGATTTGATAAAAAAGATTAAAATCTTACTTTGATATTCTTTTTAAAAATCAATTATCATTTTTTCAAAACTGATTTTAATAAAACAGATATTATACTGTTTATTTAAAATATTTTGAACCAAGCTTAACTTAGCTTCTGCGCCGAAAAAATGTAATTTGAAAATAAAATGAAGCAGGTCATAACCTTTCGCGTCCCTTGACGATTGACGAAAGGCACATTCATGACGTTTAGATATCTTACGGGAGGGTAATTCTTTCTACGGATGGAAGGAAGTGAAATTATTTAAGTGAACAAATTATTTACCTCGTTACTTTTAAGGAAAACTTTCAGCGCTCTAATTTTTTTTTTTTTTTATTTGTACTTAGCTTTCATTTTTACGGTTACGATGCTTTATGGAAAATATAAAGAAATTAAAAAATAAGACTCTTAATAGTGAGATTAAATTTCATAAGAAAAAGGTATCTAATTAATTTAGGTACCTTTCTTATGAAATTTTATCAGAAGTGTACATAAAATACTATAATTTTATGTACATTTATTACATTTTACTGTGTTATTTGTATTTCCATTCATTTTATTATTTATTTTGATATTTCATTTATGGAAAAATGTGATAACTGAGATTAATATAAAAATAAGATCATATAAATTAAAGTTTAGCAGTAGTTAAATTTCATAAGATGATACTGTTACTTCTATGTACCCTTCTCAGTTGAAATTGAAAACTCAAATTAACTTCTCCATACGTGTTTCGCAAAAGTAAAGGGCTTAACAGCGGAGAACAATGCTGAACTCAAATAATGCAACTAAATTGTATTCTGGTTGGTCTTCCGTACTTGATAATTACTGTCCGACTATAAACACAAAAATTACATTTCTGAATTACCATGGCTAATCTGATTGGTCCAAATTATACAATTTTCAAAGCGCTAGACAATGACAATCTCACAACGGACATTTTGAAAGGTTGATGTTGCATTTAACTAATGTTAAAATATATTTTAAAATTCAATTTAAAACATTTTTAAAATCTTTTAAAATTAAAGAAATAAGAAATAATTGTATTAAAAATTCAATTTTCATTGAAAAAATTTTTTGCTTCCAGAAAATATTGTCCATATTCATAAAAACAAATTAAAACAAATAAAAGCATTTGAAACTAAATAATATATTTGTTTTATTGAGTTTTGTATGTTACAATTCATAGCTGATTTTAAGGTACGTTGGCCAAAAAAAAAAAAAAAATACATGATTTGCATTCTTCAAAGCCTTGTGCTTTTAACTATTGTAATCACTAAAACCGATGGTCTCAAATTTCTAGAGTTTTTCATAAAATTAGTTATGGAGTTGTTAATAAATATAAAAAAATATTTCTGCCATGATTTTCATAAAAAAAAACATATTTATAATAATTTCGATCATCTGTGAATAGTTTCTGAAAGTTTCATTAACATCTGACAATTATTTTTATTTTTGCAAGATTTTCCAAATTAATGTGTGTAAATACAAAAAAACGCGCTAAAAATTATCTGTTATTTACAACCCCTTCTTGCGACAAAGAGAAACAAGGTTTTTTAAAACAAAATTTAGAATATTCTAAAAAGATGGAAAAATTTTAAAAAATAATTAAAAAAAAATTAGTCTATCCTCTTCATAAAAACAAAAATTTTGACGATAAAATTTTGTTTTCATAAACTTTAGCGTCTTTTTCATCAGACTATGCTCTATGTTTTAGCGATTCCGTGGAGTGACTTAGGTAAAAAAAAAAAGGTTGTGTGTGTGTGTGTGTGTGTGTGTGTGTGTGTGTGTGTGTGTGTTCCTTTATATATGGGATCGATTTCTTACATTATTCAGCCGATAAAACAAACATCCAACTTTTTTTTTTTTTTTTTTTTTGGCAGGTAGTATTTCTTATTGTCTTGCACACTTTTTTTTTTATTTACATTCAGAATGCTTTAAAATTCCATTTACAAGACAATTGTTTATAATAAAATTCTATTCACCAATCGATAGACTCATAACGATTGTAAACAATGTTTTGTTTGAGTTTGGGTTTGACCAATTCGTAAAAAAAAAAAAAAAAAAAACTAATTAAAACATGCGTGTCCGTCAACCTTAAACAATAATCTTTGTCAATTTTATTTTTCAGTCTTTATGATGGTCGATACTTGATATATCCTTTACTGTTACATCCCCGGCAACGCCGGGCTCTACTGCTAGTATATATATATATATATATTTGAATAAAAACAGACCACTTTAAGGTTCCATGTAATAAATTTTTCACCACAGCCTTTTTAAAGGGCTCTGGATCATCGGACTTTAATTAAAGGTTGAAATGAAAAATGAAAAGAAATTTTACACATTTTGACGTGCCGTATTATTTATGTAAAATTAATAAATGAGGAATTGAGGTGGGTGAGAGAAGACATGAGTGAATTAGATGTACCATTTCAATTCCTTATCCCTAGCCCCACTTGGTTTGGGCCAGACATCGTTTAACTTAACGTATGTTATCTCTAGATATGGATGGGTGAAATAGAAGAAAACCGACCTAAAAGGAAGAAGATACAATAAAATAAATCATGATCCTGAGAAAAAAAATTCTACAATTTCTTCTGACGCTGTTATTTCGCATTATTTTAAGGGTATATTTATTAAAGTTTGATATAAATCTAAATGTCTAAAAAATCTACGAAGAATTTAATTTGATGTTTGTTGGAGTTTTTTTTCTTATGAAATATCTGATTGGAAAAATTCTTTTTAGAAAGTACATTGAAATAAATAATTTCTTTACATCTAGTAATCTTTTTTATTTTCCTATTCTTATTAAGCATATGTATATATAGATATATATATATATATATATATATATATATATATATATATATATATATATATATATATATATATAAAATGTTATCTGTAAATAAATCTGCTGAGATTTCAAAATCAGTAAGTCCATGAATCTCTGACTAGAGATTTACATATATGAAACATCTAGTAATAATTATCATATAATAATACTTCTCGTGCATTAGTTCCTTAACTCGTGGGTGATGTTCTTGTCAACCCCTAAACATAATGGATTATTCTGTTTTGTTCACGGGGAGAAGAAAGACGCTGTTTTGTGTTAGTGAGAAAAATCTTTCTTTTTCTCAATGAAAAAAAAATCTTGCATAGTTTCAACTTCTGCCTCATTGAAATAGAAAAAGTGTATATTCCCAAACTTTCCATTTGTAACTTCTGACTAATTTAAATAATGATCTACATTCATATTTATATTCTAAGCGTAGCTTAGAAGTTGCAAAGTCAAAAGTATAGGAACAATAAGTAAAATCCCAAGTCTGAGAGTGTGGGGCAATCTCAATTCATTCATAATTGATCTAGCGAGACAAGCTTGCTAACCATTACACGACAGCGAAATGACCCCTTCATTCATATTGTTGATTATTATTGCAATATGTTGTTAAGTTCAAATATTTAACGATGCAGTAGTTGAATTTGTTTGCAGATTTCATCGCCTTAGGGTACGCAAGGAGCTTATTCATTCATTAACTTAAGATAACTTTGAAAGCATAGCAATTTCCACATATATTATTCGTGTAGATATATATTACACATATATTCTGTATGACGTGATTGACTTTCAGTAGAAGTAAGAAACTAGTAGTAATTCCCCACGTAATTTACACTTTTGTACATAAGAAGTTAAATTCTGAACACGTATTGTAGCAACCCCCACCCCCGACCAAAGTGACATTTCCAGGCATTCGACCAGTAACTAAAGAGCAAAACAAGATCTACCGTCACTTGATACAACTGAAAGCCAGAAGTGTTTCCGATTTGGTTCCCATGCTAATGTAGTAAATTAAAATATATTTGGCTTGTTCGACGAATTCTTATGCTAGATCGATCATTTTTCAACTAAATTATTTATATATCGATTCGTGCAGCTGCCTACACAAATATGTGACGGCTAAAGCTGAAACTACAAAAAAAAGTGAAATTGCAGAGGGTTGAAGAGCGCATCGGCTAAAACATCGGATCCGGAAGAGAGTTCCACAAGCTAAAAGTGCGAGAAAAGAAACTTTCAGCATAGAACTCATGGTTACATCTAACAAATTCATCTGTGAATTGATGAAGACTTTTTTTTATTAATCTAGTATACGTCTTAAATTCATAATGTCTAGATACCATAACCTAGGTACAATTTTATGTTGTCAAGCACGGAATGAGCAAGCATGTTTTTTTTCTCTCGTGCAGATAAAAAAAAATATGTTATAGGTTAAATATATTTATTTATTTTGATTACGTAAGGAGTAGGGTGCCATTTTTCTTTGTATTAGCTATAAAATACGTAGGTGCCTCATTATGTTTGCTAATAGATGGGGGCCTCAGAATGTTTGCTAATATAGTATAAACGTCACTTTAACTATTTTTGACTGCACTGAGGAGTTGTTCAAGGTGCCCGAAAACCCTGATACCACGCTGCTTTTTAAGTTTTATTTTATTTTATTTTTTATTGTTTTATTTATTTTTTGATAGGCTTTCCAAAGAAAAGCGCCATCTATGTCGGGTTTGGAAGCACTTCTTAAGTGAACCGCGCGCTGACGTTAATCCGATCAGCCAGTAACGTACATTCTTTTCATTTATTCAAATTTTGAAAGCCAATGATTCTGTTCTTGTTTCTCGTCGCTTCGTTCACTTGGCTTTATTGGTGAAATGTCGATTTTATGAATATTTGCAAGAGTTAGGGTAAAAAAAAAACACAACTGATGCGTACGTTTGAATCGCTCATTTGCTATTCATGTGATGCAGGCAACGATTCATCGAATTCTTTTCGCTGACGGCACCGATCTGCACAAAACGTTCATATCTTTTATTTATATCAGGAATTCGTCTGCACTTATATATCATTGTCATCAAAGTTTGCAAAGTATAGTGGTATGCATAGACACACATATATACACACAATTATGATTTGCATATATATCTGTCTCAGTCAGTTACGAGTTATGTCAACCTTTTCACAATCATTCCCAACCTGTTCATATCTATCTATCTATCTATCTATCTATCTATCTATCTATCTATCTATCTATGTCTATTCATATTTATTTATCCCAGTCTGTTCATATCTATCTCTGTCTGTCCCTATCTATCTATCTATCTATCTATCATCTATCTATCTATCTATCTATCTGACTTTTCACATCTATCTATCTATCTATCTATCTATCTATCTATCTATTTTTCTATCTATCTATGTATGTTTCATATCATCTATCTATCTCTATCTATCTATCTACCTATCTATCTATCTGTCTCAGTATGTTTATATCTATCTATCTATCTATCTATCTATCTATCTATCTATTTATCTATCTATCTATCTATCTGAGTCTGTTCATATCTATCTATCTATCTGTGTTCAATCCCAGTCTGTTCATATCTATCTCTATATTTATCTATCTATCTATCACTGTCTCTTCAAATCTATCTATCTCAGTCCGTTCATCTCTCTCCCTCCTCTCTCTCTCTCTCTCACTCTCTCTCTCTCTATATATATATATATATATATATGTCTCAATTCATATCGGTCTATCTACAAGAAGCAATTTAAATCTCTCTACATATATATATATCAGTCTCTATCTGCCTATGTATTTATCTATACGCTTTAGATATCCATCTACTTATCTACATCGGTCTGTACATACCTAGCTAATTATTTTTCATTCGATTCTTCACTATTTTCAGATATATAGATTAGCATATGGTGATAACCATATGATGATATATTTGCAACTATACTAAATTTATCTCTATATTATGAATATATTTAGAGATGCACAAACCTTTATATATATATATATATATATATATATATATATATATATATATATATATATATATATATATATATATGGAGTAATGGATAGCATTTGTTGATTGAGGAATCGGAGAGCCGAATTCGAATTCCAGTCGAATCCATTACATTCACTTACGTGCTAATACCCTTGCGAAGTTTATGAATCCTCTTTTTATCCCTCCAGCTATGGGTAAATCGCAGGACAGACCGGGTTCTATAGCCGTTGATGGTAACTGGTCTAGAAGAACATCTCTGTATTCGGCCCTTCAAGAAGTGTGGATGCTTCTGCACAAAAACTGAACCATCATAATCACGTGTGCTGGTGTCTGGCTGTCGGTTCCTAGGAACTTATCTGCTTGACCCTCATACGTCGAATACGACAGGAGAGTCATATATATATATATATATATATATATATATATATATATATATATATATATATATATATAGCCAAATGAGAGAAAGAATAGATGAAGTAAAATTTCTGTTCGTAGCATTTAATTTTTTTTTTAAAGTGCTCAATACAAACTACAGAATTTAAGTCGTAACCTTAAAGTTAAGATAAGCACTAATTTAAAACAAGTAGAATCTTTGATGTTACATTATACGTAGTTAATAATGTATTCCTATCCTACATGAAAACAAATGCTAATGTCTTTTACAAGCATAGTTAATTTTACAACACTGCCTTAAAAAATAGTGGCTATAAGTGCACTGACATCAAATATATAAAACATAAAAGCAGCGATCGTAGGAATAAAATAGAAACAATAAAATCATTTGGTAGACCCCCATTTCACCAAAAGTTCTGTAATAAGTTATGACAGAATTTCCCCATTTAATTGATAAACACTTCCCCATAAATAATCCACTGTGTAAAATCTTTAACAGAAATACACTAAAACTAACTTTTAGCTGTAAAAATAATTTGGAAAAAAATTATGAAAAAACACAATGAAATTTCAAGCCAATACAAAAAATCTGAGTTATAATAGCCATAACAAACACTGATAATATCATCAAGTGTAATTGTAAAATTTCTAATGGATGCCCATTGTAAAACCAATGTCTAACTGACTCTCTTTTTTACCTAAGCACTATTTCTACTATTTAAAATCCAACAGTGAGAAAAATTTATATTGCTAGTACGAAGAATACTTGTAAACCTAGGTGGTACCAAAATGTAATATCTTTCACCAATAACAAAAATATGGCGTCCCTTTCTAAATATTTTTCGGAACTTAAAAGTAGTTAACAAATCATCTATGGAAAATGGAAAATGCAAAAACAAACAAAATAGAACCTGTAAATCTTTAAATGAACCGTGCTTCTCGTGCTTACATGAAAAATTAAAAAAAGTAATCCGATTTGCCGACAAAAATACCTGCTAAACCAAAGAACTGAATTCACTGTAAACTGCCGACACAGTTACAATATAGTTAATTTTTAAAAAAAATAGGTACTTACATTTTTATGGTCATAATTTATAAATAAATAATTGGTCTACCCTCTACAAGTAATTATCTTATTTTGTATATTCATATTTAATATTGGTATGTTTTGCTCTCCAGTTAGTATTATTTATAACTTATATAGATGCTCCACATTTTTATTTTTATCTACTGGTTACTTTAAGAAGCTTCGTTAATCTAAAGTTAAAAAAAAAAACTTCTGTTGAAATTAACTTTACGTTTGATTATCCTTCTTACAATCGCCTAAGCGTCCTTTGAAAAATTGAACACGTCATATTTGTCTGCAATCACAATACATTTGTTGCTTACTTGTTTTCCGTAATTGTCAATGATGACATGTCTAAGTTCCCGTTTTTCATGTCCTGAAAAAATAATATTCAGCCCAACACTTTGAGCATAATTTTCTATTTAGCGTAGATCTTATATTTAATTGATTGATCAAGACAAAACCACAAGTCTATTTTTAATTCTGACCTTTTTTTTTTTATTCATCTTTTACCTTTCGGAAAAGAGGTAACAGTTTGCTTTTGAAATTTTAAAGAAATTATTATCCCCAACCACTTACCATTGACTTGGAGAGGTACAACGTAGTGCTGATACAAGAATTCTATTGTGTAGCGATTTTTGTTCTAAAATAAAATAATATATATATATATATATATATATATATAGAAAAAGTTGCAAATTAAAAAAAATAATGTTTTTTTATGAAAGTATTTATTTATTTACATATATATAATTGATATTTAAGATTGACCTCAATCTTTCCTCAGAAATAACTGTTTGTTTAAAAGTAGCGTCCGTCGCGAGATACGACGTCACGTGATATGGAACGCCACAGTGTTCGAATATTCTTAACATAAATCTAACTGTAATAATATTTTAGATGTTGTTTAAAATAAAATAACTATATCTAAAAAATGTTTATATTGTGGACTAAGTTAATGTTTTGTAATTTGTTGAGAAAGTCAGTAGTGTCTCTAATATAACTAGGTATATCAGGCAATAAAGGTTTTAGGATATTGTCTATGTATATATGTATACCTCATTCTATTCATAATTATCGATATATCCAATTATATCAATCTGTTCATACATAGCTATTTTACCTAAAGATGTCCTCTCTCTTTATATATATATATATATATATATATATATATATATATATATATTCCCATCGATAAATTGCCGTCGAAAGTACGCAGAAATGAAAATAATACTGATGTCTCATTTTAATAGATATATTTACCAACAATACAGAAAATATCTAGAAAGGATAAAAAGTACATTTATTCAATAAAATCGCCATTGGCTTCAATCACAGCCTCCAGACGACATTGGTATCTCTTGCATCTTTTCTGGACGGTCTTCTTGTTTAAGTTTGTGAATGATGCTATGATCTTTTCCTGAAGGAGACAAACCCCCTGATTTGTTTGTCGGTCTTGAATATTGAGAGCTGTTTTTCATGCTCTCCTTCAATAAAAATTATTACCTATTTTAAGTGTTTGATATTCTTTAATTAATAATACTTTTGCTCTGTTTTTTTACATAGAGGTCTCCCTGGGTCTATATCCTCCTGGAAACTTCATACGAATTACCACATTGTATATATATATATATATATATATATATATATATATATATATATATATATATATATATATGAGGGGTGTATGTATGTATGTATGTGCTTAATATCAGAGATAGAATTATGTGGATATCAAACTGGACATTGAAATCAAAAACGACTGGCAACTGGGTATTTAAGCATTTTATTATGTCATTGCTATACATCTAATAAGCCGTTTTGACAACGTTATCCTGGTGCATATTCTACTTAAGTCTCTTTCCTTGTCGAAACGCGTAGTCCCAATTCCGAGTCGTCGATGGCTGTGAATATTACATGACGCTTACCTATACCTGATATTCAGTGCTGAGTTATCTGGTGTATATTGTTCTGCGGTCGGCTAGCAATACACGACATTCTTTCTTATGCAAACATTCGGAAACCGTGACCCAGTCATCATAGTCGAAGCTAACAGAGAAAGAAACGAGTTCTCAAAATGTCAGCTTGCTGCATTGCACACTGCGGTGCTGGTGATTTTGTTTATGAATTTAATAACATGCATCTGCCTTAGGCAAAATATCTTCAAGCAGTTTTCCAGTTCAGCGTCACAATTTTTGTTTGTCATATGATTTTACGAGAAAAAATCATGGAATGCATTTTCAACCTCGATTCAATGCTTAAAGGAAATGACAATTACCCCTTATTGCAAGAAATATTACAAGGGATGAAAAGTGGATTGTTTACAACAACATGGTGTGGGAAAATATGGGCGAAACAAAAAACTTATCTCCAGTAATGTTGTGTATTTGGAGGGATTGGAAGAGCTATGTACATTACAAGATTTAATAAATTCAGACACTGAATTCAAAAAACTTCCCAAATAAAACAACGAAAAGTAGCAATCGATGCGACACGTAACCTACAACTTTCGTTTCGATTTCAAGGTTATCTTCTAGTTGAACCACATTGTGTTGCTCATTTTGGAAACCCCAGCAGACCCTATAGCAATGAACTTGTTGATTTCGCTCCTAAGCGACAGGTTGCTTCGTTATAGTAGAACCTAACTATATCAAGTGGTCAACGCATTCATGTTCTTTATCGGCGATACTGATTGATAATGATACCTCACCCATGCTATTGTTTTTATTGCAGCTGATATTTAACCCAAATTATCTGCAGGGATGGGCAAACTATTATATAATCTGATAGGAGTCCGCTTGGCGACATCAGCGAACATTTCTCTCATGACACCGACAGGCTAACATGAACAACTTGCTATGTATGTGGACATATTTGACAGATTACCTTAACAGATTATTCGGCAACAGGAAAAATGCCAGACTAATTTGCAACAAGGACGCAACATTTTTTAATGCCGGCTTAAATTGCAGACGTATCTGACTTTTCAGAAACGTGGCTGAAAACGCCCTGTTGTTGTCATGGATAAATGTGATAATCTTAGATAATTGTTAGTGAGGGTGACAAATCTCTTTCAACAGATAAAACAGATCTTACTTAAAAAAAGTTCGAATGATCTGAAATCTTTTTTTAAGTCTTCATTCACAAATTTTCTGTCTTCTTAACGGGATTTGTCCCCATTT